TTTCCTCTTCCTGGACCAAGCTCTAGAAATCACAGAAGAGATAGTAACACATAAACTGTGACCTCTCTTGAAAATACAGTTTTGTGGGCCGTAAGTAATAGCAAGAGCGTAAAAATCACAAAAGACAAGGGGAAGGATGATGAATGGAGTGGGCATCTGAGTGTAGAAAGTACAACCACAGGAGGTGGTGACAACACTGGTGGTCTCTGAATAGAAGAATCTTTTTTTTTTTGGTGTGTGTGTGTCGGGGGAGGTAATTAGGTTGTTTGTTTGTTTGTTTGTTTTAAATGGAGGTACTAGGGATTGAACCTTGTGCCTGCTAAGCACAGTCGACCACTAAGGTCTACCCTCCCCCTAGAAGGATCTTAAGAGTGCTAGTACCTGGCTCCAATCTCTCTCTCTCTCTCTCTGTATTTCATTTCCCATCCTTTTCCTTCTCTTTTCTTTTCTCTGTCCCAGTAAAGGCCATGGCATCGCACTGCATTTATACCACACCCCAGCCCCACCCCAGGGCAAGTGGGCACCTGCTTGATTGCTGGATGGGAAAGGAGATGCTGGGCTAGCCCTGCTCAAAGGCCGTTGGCCAGCGGGGCCTTAATGTACTTCAGTGATCCCTGCGTCTCCACCATGGATCTGAGTTCATGCCTGGAGTCAGGTAGGGACTGTGGGGACCACTGAGCAGGCCCAGGGAGCTGGACACAGCTGCTCAGCTGAAGATGGTAAAAGCCAAACAAAGGAAGTCTCTGGGACAGAAGAATTAGGGAGGGGACAGCAAACTTCCCATGGAGGGAAGGAATGGAGTCCTCCGTGCTGTGCCCGAGGAACTAAACTGAGGGTCCAGGGGAAGGGAGTGAAATGCTGGCAACACAATCAGGGCTACAAGCAACACAAGGGCACTTCTGCACAGGAGTGGAATTTTCTATACCTTCTGCCAGGATTTCTGGCAGGACTGAAGAGATTTTTAAAAATTGATGTGAAATTCACATGACCTAAAAGAAACCATTTGGTTTTTTTCCCCTTGATAAAAATAGATTTATAATCCAGATTATTTAAAAAAATGCTGGTATAAGCTTAATGTTAGATATATGTAGGCACTTCAGAAAGACTTAAGAAGGGATTAAAATGACCCCAACCTAGAGGGGCTGGTGTAGCTC